CTGGAGGTAGTTCCATCCCAACAGACGCTTGATCTGTAAATCCAGTTGCCTCTTCTCTGTTGTCATTGGCTACCTCGCTATACCTCTCTATCGATTTGGACCTGTTGATGAGCTCCCCCTCACTCGCTTGGCTTCCATGTCGCTGCACCCTTGCAGCTTTCCCTTTCCCCCTTCCCCAATTCCTGCCTAGTGGAATTGGCTAATTCCTTACCTCCTCCTGCCCACCTCTGCGGCCCTTCCTTTTTCCTTTTCGCATGATCTTCAACTACCTCTCCTAAGTAATTGACTCTCCAAGTTCCATTCTACACATGACATCCAAATGTACACTTCTAATGGCCAATTCGTCAGTCATACACAGAAAGCCTCGAGTTATACATGTCCAAAATCAAACTGGTCATCTTCCTCCAAAACCTGTTATTCCATCAGTTGCACCTATTTATGTGAATGACAACATCATACACTTTCTCAGTCTAGAAATGACAACCATCTTTGATTTCCTATTACTCACTCCCCACATCCAATTGACTGCACTGTTCTGTCCATTTTCCCTCCGAAGTGTCTCACAGCTGCTTCGTTTCTACCCCTGTAGTTCAAGCTATCATTACCTATGACTGAGACTATTGTCACAGCCTCCTAACTGGTACTTTTACTCATTTATTTTTTAATGCTTCCATAAGAGGAATTTCCACAGACAATAATAGCATTTATAAATAATATTATTTATACTGAGTCTAGTGCCTGGCATATAATAAGAGTATAAATAATATCCATATTATAATATTAATAATAGTATTGAAGTTTTATTTATTTAACTACTAATAATTACACTACACTAAGTGTTTACCATGTCTTTTAATCTTCACAGCCACATTATAGAGTAGGAACTATTATTATTTAAATCTTAAAGATGAGGCAAAAGAAGTTCGGGGAGGTTAAATAACTTCACATAAAAGTTACAGGGCTCGCTAAGTGACAGCAGGATTCCCAGGCTTTCTGGCTTCTAAAACATCTGTTCTAAAACTTTTCCGTATCGCCTCTCGCCTAACCAAAACCTTCCAGTCAGTCTCTATCCCTATTCCACCCGCCTTTCCCTTCCCACGCCATTCTTCCAACCCAAAGGCCCTTCTTTTGGTTTTACTTATCTCCGTTATTTAGTAAGGACTCATTCATCAGCTATTTCCAGAAAGGCCTTCACAGCAGGCTCCTCTTCTCTCACGGTGCCAACCACGTCTCTCCACAGCTCTCCTCCTCTCCATCTCTCTTGCCAGCTGCTAAAATAGGGTTGGGGAAAGAAGTGAAGAGTGTGGGAGTAGCTCCAACTTTGGTAGGTGTGGAGACAAAAAAACTTCCTGCACCTTGAGTTTTCCTCTGCC